ATTTAAGGTAGACACTAAATCTTGCAAATGAAGAACTTGATGCACTGTGCTAGGCCGGAAATTCCTCCCTAGTTTTGGCTGCCATGAGCCCGTAAGTGGCATAAAGATTCAGATTCATCATTGAACCACAGGGCTCTTAGATTTAAACTGCTATTTAGGACATTCTCTGACTAATGGACCATTGGAGTTATGCAGTTAACCCTGACCTGGAGCTAATTGGTCAGACTGATGAATTACTACCCTGCCAGTAGTAATGGAGTTACAGGCAAGATCTAGCTCATATTGGAAGCATTAATAGGGAGAATTGGCACTCTATACCTGAAGGGGGTCTAGTATCCAAAATAACATAAAGGACTTGGATGGAAAAGAAAAAGAAAAGATCATTGTAGTAAGTCTGTAAATACTAACTGCAAGTGAAGTTCATGCAATTCATGTATTGTCAAAGTGATGAATGGGACACGTGCAAGAGAGGTGTTTATGGTTGAGGTATGTGTATGATCAGAACAGGAAGGGATGGCCCTCTTCAAGGACCTAAAGGGATGTCACAGAGAAGAACCTGAAGACCTATTTTCAGGTGTCCCAGACTGTAGGATACAATGGTGCCCCAAGAGTATTGTGTCCCAACTAAATGGACTGATTCTATTATTGCCTCACATGTTTAAGCTGGTTACTGAATTAATGTTTCAGATTTAAACCATTTTGAGTGCCCTGACTGAGTTTGGAACATCTATTTTGCATTTTCAGATGGGCTGTTCAGCTTATTTGGGAAGGGTTTCAAGCTTGGATTTGAAATAGAGCAGTTCTGAACACACTTTGACTGGGGCAGCCTGTTTGGGCAAAACAGCTGTTTCAAAGTCAAAGTGAGGTGGGGGGTTGAATTAATCTATTTGCTAGGTTTACACAATATACGGAACCATAAAGAAACTAAAATCAAAGCCTTAAATTGGCTGAGAGGGCTTTACAGCAGCTGCTAGGTTTGTATCTGAGTTGGTTACGCTCATGGCAGAAGTAATAACCGCCAAAACACAGTCTCCTGTGCTCTTACGTAAGTTCTGATGTTTTAGGATTTCCGCAAGGCACGTTAATTTGCAATGGAATTGGGGTAGCTCTGCTTACCATGTGGGGCCATTATTATTGCTTCTCAACAGTGAGAACATTGCTTTTCTTGACCCATTGCATGCATTGCCTGGCTGGCTGGGGAATTCTGGGAGTTGAAGTGCACTCATCCTAAAGTTGCTAAGATTGAGAAACACTGATCTAAGCAGCTTAAAATCCTCCAAAGCAACTTTGTGAAGTAGGACATGAGAGGTATGCTCGATTTGCCTTCTTGAGTAAGGAGCAGAGTGTTTTATTTATCTCAAAGGAAGAGTCATTTCTCCCCCTAAAATTTACCTTTAAAATTGGATTCACTGCGAATCTGGTAATGGAGGCAGAGAAAATGTTTCTTCCCTTTGCTGGGTCATTGTCTTTTTGAGTAATTGTGATAATAAATGCAAGCATTTTATCAAAAGGCACATGTTATTCTAGGTAGTATTGAATGTATCCTGCTTTCAATAGCATCTCAAGGTTTCGAAACTCCAGTCCTACTTTTGCTGCACTTGATTTAACTTTTTTTTTTTTTAAATTAAGCATAGCAACTAATGCCTTCGTTTCGCTAAATTGGCATTAAATGAATATCGCCTTCAGAGATGATTGTGCCCTTTTAGCAAGGCTCTGAAAGAATCTTGGTGGCTGCTTCTGTTTTCTTTTCCCTGGCTTTTAATTGATTGCCCCACTCTCCGTTAATGCAACCAAATGTGAGAGGTTTCAGTGACAGAAGGTGAATTTAAATGTATTGGATGTATGGCTTTTATCATCACTTTTGGCAGAGCTTGGTAGTTTTCTTCTGCAACTATTGTCCTTGGAGGTCACAAAAAAAATACGCTTTGATGTTTTCAATCTGGTTTGCACAATACGTCTGTCTCACCTAAAAGGCAGTATCTCAAAAATTGAATATCGGAAAGGGCTGCCCACGGAACACAGGTGTGATGTGCAAAGTCTTCTATTGCTTAAGTAGCTAGTGACCTTGGAGTAAATTATTTTAAAATAGGGAAACTGATTGGCATTTTGGTAGACTTAGATAAGAGTTGCCTACTTGGCTGAATTAATTTTAATATTTTATGAGTTTGAATTGGGAACCAAACAGAAATGGTTGTTTATGGGAATGGGGACAAAGAAATAGTTTTTCTTCAGATTTATTGGTACATCATAGTTTTCTTCTGTATGAATGTACTAGTCCAGACTTCCATAATCGGGGATTCCCAGAGTGCTCTCTACCACCCTAAGCTTACTGGGTTTTTTTCTTGGACAAATGGACACACTTTCAAGCAAAGGCATGGATTGCATCTAGAGATAGCTAAAATGTTTCAAATGGGAATGATTTTCAGCTCAAAACACTCAGTTTTGAGTTTGAAATCAGTTATTCCAACCAACCGTTTCAGAGCTCAGAACAGTTCCAAATGCTTAGGACAGCCTACATCAAATGTGAAACCCCATTTTCAACTCCAGGTGGAAGATTTAAGTCCTGAAATGTTTTGGATTTTAAACATTTTGTACATCCCTAGTTATCTCAACATACCATTTTTTTTTTTAACTTTCTAAGAAGGTCCTGACCCTAGAGTAGGCACTGATGGCCAAGAAACATTTTCCAAAGTAAAGATGATGCTAGATGGCTCCACTTTGTATGGCCCTATGTCACCTTCTCATTCATGATTATTTTTAATTAAAATAATCAAAACACTTTAACTTTAAACAATTTAACAAACAAAATCTTGGGCATGAACCTTAAATTCATGAATCAGCTCCAAAGGCTGTAGATTCACATTTATTTATGTATTTATTATTTGTTAGAGTTCTATCCCCTTTTTTAGTCAGAAGCTCAAAATGGTGTATACAAAGCACTCTTCATTTTTCCTCACAACAATAAACTGTGAGGTAGATTAAGCTGGGAAAGTGTGACTATCCCAAAATTACCCAGAGCCTAAGAGCAGGCTAGAATCTGGGTTTCCCTGGAGACAGACCAACACCGTAACCCAGTATTTCTCAACCTTGGCAGTTTGAAGATGTATGGACTTCAAGCTGGCTGGGGAATTCTGGGAGTTGAAGTCCATACATCTTCAAACTGCCAAGGCTGAGAAATACTGCCTTAACCACTGTGCCTTGCCCTGCTTACATCTTTCTGACTTTTTCTCATCTCTTCTGTTTATGTCACCTCTCTACTTCTCAAGTGTAAGTCATGGCAAAACATGCTGTTTGATCAGTTTATAGGCTACTTCGTCTTGTTTCGGAAGGCTACAGTGTATATGGACTTAAAAATAATTAATGCAAATGATCACAACTAATCACTTGAATTAGTCCAATAAGTCAGGCTAATTGACTGTCTTCAACTCAAGCTAATCAGGTACCTCAAATTGGACAAATAATTCATATTGAGACAATGATGGCAACTCAGAAATAAGTGCTATGGGTTTCAGCAGAGTGTCTAGGGCAGTGTTTCTCAACCTTGGCCA